CCCCGTTTGATCAGTGTGCAGAGCAAAGGATCTGAGAAGACCTTTAAGAGGTGAACGCATCATTCAGCAGAACAGCTGATGAAGCTCCTGCCCAGATCTGCATCCACCTCTTTACCCAGCACAAATGAGTTGTACCAGCCACAAGGTGCAGGAAATTCGGGCCGGCGTGCAGTTACAGTAAGTCAGAACTTATTCGGAAAAAGGGTTTCCATCTCCGTTTAGAGCATTTACTCTTTTTCTACAAAACACCTCAAGTGAACGAAAAAACTTTTGTCCAAATTAAGGATTAGTTTTCAGATTTTGCCGTTTCCATCGACATTTTCTAACGCGATGCTTCAAAATACGCATTAAAAAACGTTGATGGAACACGGCCATTAGCTGCAGCCCTGGCCAGTCTCAGACACACAGCTTCGGACGCCTTGTTTGTTTACTTGGAAGTTGGTCTCTAGCACCTCCTTCCCAAACACATCACGCCACCGTGAAAGGCGGGAACGATGATTGGTCGTGTTTCTGGGCCGAGTCGCTGAAAGACACGCTGCGACATCTTTAACTCTGCTTCAGGCCGAAGCCGGCGTGAAGGGCTGACCTTTGACCCCGGCGGCAGTCCTTCCAGCTGAGCGGGTCGACGGAAGCTGCGATGGTTTTCCAGTTTATGCTGCATCTTATCCTTCAGGAAGACGAACTGAAGACGGCATCTGTTGCAGTGGAAGGCCTGGCTGACCTGAGACAGAGGACAGAGGACACTCTCAGGCAAGAGCTTCTGCTGTACGGCGTTCCTACATGTTTTACAGTACGGGTTCTGAGCAGCTGGTAGGGATGTCACGAGAACTGAAACTCGGTACCAACTCAAAACCAAAATTCTGAACACATGTCGGTACTTGTTTTTCAAGGAACTGTAGATCCAACTGTGGAAGATGGCGACTAGTGCGGCTGCAGCTACTACTACTGCTGCTACTATTGCTACTGCTGGTACTGCTGGTACTGCTACTACTACTACTGCTGGTACTGCTACTACTGGTACTGCTACTACTGCTTCTACTGCTACTACTGGTACTACTAGTACTGCTAATACTGCTACTGCTACTACTGTTGCTACTACTGGTACTGCTGGTACTGCTGGTACTGCTACTACTACTGCTGGTACTGCTACTACTGGTACTGCTACTACTGCTTCTACTGCTACTACTGGTACTACTAGTACTGCTAATACTGCTACTGCTACTACTGTTGCTACTACTGGTACAGCTACTGCTGGTACTGCTACTACTGCTACTACTATTACTGGTACTGCTACTACTGCTGGTACTGCTGGTACTGCTTCTACTGGTACTGCTACTACTGGTACTACTAGTACTGCTAATACTGCTACTACTACTGGTACAGCTACTGCTGGTACTGCTACTACTGCTACTACTATTACTGGTACTGCTACTACTGCTGGTACTGCTACTACTATTACTGGTACTGCTACTACTGCTGGTACTGCTGGTACTGCTACTACTGCTTCTACTACTGGTACTGCTACTACTGGTACTGCTTCTACTGCTACTACTACTGTAATGCTACTTGTCCATTTGGGCTGTAGAAAAATGGCCGCGCAACATGGTGACGTTTTTATTTTGTAACGTGGGACCAAATTTGGCATCGAGAATCGTGGAATTTCACTGGTACTGGTATCCAAATTTCTGGCATCGTGACATCCTTAGCCGCTGGGGCTAAATAAAGACAAAAGGTTTGTCTTGTGTGTTGTTTTGTGTTCCTGCTGCACCAGAGAGACACTGAAACATGGCCGACACGTCCTGTGATACATGTATAAACGCCGCTGACTCCGCTACACAGGTAACTCCAGGAGGGGCTGCTGATTGGCCTGTTAGCTGACAACAGTATGTGTGTGTGCACGCTCACCTGGTGTCGCAGCAGGTGCTGCTGGTAGCTGGCGGGTTTCTGGTCACCTTCAGGCAGAACACACAGCAGGAAGCGCGAGTCTCTGTGGAAACTGGCAAATGCTGCAGGACGTCCGAGTAGAAGGACGAGCGATACGAACACACCTGCAAGGCACACCTGAATTAGTGAGGCCTGAGGACTGACCCCGAGCCAGGTCGGCGGCCAGCAGTCAGACTCACCTGGCAGATGTAGGGCACTCCTGGTTTGTGGTTGGACTTCATGTGGTTCAGGAAGGCCGGCTCGTTCTCAAACGCCCACTCACAAATATGACACATACCTGAGAGAGAGGGAGGACAGGTGAGTCTCAGGTCCAGATACAGACTGTACCTGTCTTTGTTCGTGCGTTCAAGCGGTTTGCAGCGCTTCCTCCTCCTGTGTGTCCGGAGACAGGTAAGTCATGAGTCAAGGGCAAGCCAAGACAGGTAAGCCCTAAGTCCAAGTCAAGTCCCACATCAAGACAGGTAAGTCCCAAGGTCCAAGTCAAGACAGGTAACTCCAAAGGTTAAGTCCTAAAAGGAAGACAAATTTTTTACATTCTTCAGGTGTGTGAGCAGGTGTGGTTCTTACAGGAGGAGGGGGTGCGGCCATGCACCTGCTCCTGGTGGCTGTTCAGCTGAGCAGGAGATGAGAACTGTCGGTAACAGAACTTGCAGCACTTCTTCTCGTCACCTCCTCCACCTCCTCCAATCAGCTCTGAGTGCTGCAGCATGTGCTGCATTAACCTGTATACACACACGCACACACACACGTGAGCATCCAGACCTCTGCACGTGCATCAGTCCATGTGTGTTCAGGTGCTCGCTGAGCCCACCTCAGGTTGTTCTCAGCGAGGTGCGAGCAGATCTGGCAGGTGAAGGTGGAGGTTTTGATTCCCAGTGGGTGTGGCTTCCTCAGACTGAGGTCGCCTTCAAACGTCCCGTAGTAGAAATCCTCCACGCTCATCACCACCCGAGGGGGGTCAGGATCGGCGCCGAGGTCACAGCGGCGGTCATGACGACAGAAGTGGCGGGACCAGGAGCTGGTGAACCAGACGACACGCAGAAACATGAGAGGGGTAACAATGCTAAGACAATGTAGCTCCTAGTTCAGTTTCTAGTTTCCTAGTACAGCTCCTAGTTTCCTAGTTAGGGTACTAGTTTCCTAGATTAGCTCCTAGTTTAAATAATAGTTTCCTAATTTAGCGCATAGTTTCCTAGTTCAGGTCCTAGTTTAGCTGCTAGTTTCCTAGTTCAGGTCCTAGTTTCCTAGTTCAGGTCCTAGTTTCCTAGATTAGCTCCTAGTTTCCTAGATTAGCTCCATGTTTCCAAGTTCAGGTCCTAGTTTCCTAGATTAGCTCCTAGTTTCCAAGTTCATGTCCTAGTTTCCTAGATTAGCTCCTAGTTTCCAAGTTCATGTCCTAGTTTCCTAGATTAGCTCCATGTTTCTAAATTCATGTCCTAGTTTCCTAGATTAGCTCCTAGATTAGCTCCTAGTTTCCAAGTTCAGGTCCTAGTTTCCAAGGTTAGCTTCTAATTTCCTAGTTCAGGTCCTAGTTTCCTAATTTTGCTCCTAGTTTCCTAGTACAGCTCCTACTTTCCTATTACAGCTCCTAGTTCAGGTCCTAGTTTCCTAGTACAGCTCCTACTTTCCTAGTTCAGGTCCTAGTTTAGCGGCTAGTTTCGTAGTTTAGCTCCTACTACAGCTCCTAGTTTTCTAGTTTAGCCCTAGTTTCTGAGATTAGCTCCTAGTTCAGCTCCTAGTTTCCTAGTTCAGCTCCTAGTTTCCTAGTACAGCTCCTAGTACAGGTCCTAGGTTCCTAGATTAGATCCTAGTACAGCTCCTAGTTTCCTAGATAAGCTCCTAGTAAAGCTCCTAGCTTCCTAGTACAGCTCCTAATTTCCTAGTACAGTTTTAGTATAGGTCCTAGTTTCCTAGATTAGCTCCTAGTACAGCTCCTAGTTTCCTAGTACAGCTTCTAATTTCCTATTCAGTTCCTAGTCTCCTAGTTCAGGTCCTAGTTTCCTAGATTAGCTCCTAGTACAGCTCCTAGTTTCCTAGTTCAGCTCCTAGTTTCCTAGATTAGCTCCTATTTTCCTAGTTCAGCCCCTAGTCTCCTGTACAGCTCCTAGTTTCCTAGTTCAAGTCCTAGTTTCCCAGATTAGGTCCTAGTTCAGGTCCTAGTTTCCTAGTACAGCTCCTAATTTCCTAGTCTAGGTCCTAGTTTCCTCGTACTGGATGCGTGTCTGCAGACTGTTCGCCCGACACGTTACAGTTCAGTCTCCGTAACGACAGATTTAGTTCATTTACAGTCCGGCAGTCGTGGAATGGTTGTCAAAGTGTTTCAACAGCAGAAACAACGCTGTTGGATGGATTTTTTTTATAGCAACACAAAACAGGAAAAGAAGCGTCGTCAGGAACCAGCATCAAAATCAAAGTATCAGTATCGTTCATTTCCCTACTTGTACCGCTGCTGATGGGAGGGATTCTCATGACCCCATTGGCTGAGCCAGAGGCAGGGCGGGGGAACCTGCCAGCTTCAGGGAGCTGACCCCACCACCTGGGTCATCTGAAGGTTAACTAAAAAAAGATAACCAATCAATCAATAAACCACTCAATCATCTGATCAGACGTGTGCTCGTGACCAGTCTGACTGACCGGGTCCTGGCGTGCTGGTGCGGATGGTTAGGGTGGCGGGCAGCTGCATGGCGGCGAAGGCAGAGGCCTGGGCCGGGCCTCTGGAGGGGGCGGGCCTGGTCTGGTCTGGACCGCCTGGCCCTGGTGGATGACAGAGGATACGCCCACACTGGGCCGTACCAACTGACCCAGAGACGAGGCTGCGGGGACAGGAAACAGCGGTGCTGAGTGATCAGCTGGGATCAGTGATCGATTTCTTATTGATTAATGTCTGATGGAGTCCAGGTGTCCTACACTGGATCAGGGTGAGCGGCTGGACCGTCTGACCCCGCTGCAGGTTCAGCAGCAGGGGGTGCCGTGGTTCATCATCGGGAAACCCTGCACGGTAAAAAAAAAAAACACAGGCGTGACATCACAGGTGTGACCTCACAGGCGTGACTCCTTTCATGAGTTGCACATCTTTATTTTTTAAGACGCAGAATTTTGCCTTCCTCTCAATCTTAGTTCAACATTGCAGCGCAGTGCATTGTGGGAGATTCCCTTGAGCAAAGTCTGCTGAAACATTTGTTGGCGGCAGCACGGGTCACAGTCCTCGGTGTGTTTGCGTGGACTGTGTTAATGCTGAGTCGTGGCGTCGGTCTTCATTTTGCTCTCAGGTTAGTCTGACGCAGTTTGACAGGCTCAAAAAATAAAGAGGCGGAGCCTGATAGCGAGCTGAGGTACAGAGCAAACCTCTGCAGCAGATTGACGCTGAGACCAGTTTTATTTTTGTCTTGCTTCATTATTTGCTGAATTTTCAAAGTAAAACGTCCAAGTCACTGTTGAATTCCATCTTCTGCTGAGCAGTCTGACATGGTGCCTCGGTCAGTTTTCATTTACCCAAAGTTCAAAGCAAATCGGTCCTGCTTAAAAGGTTCAAAAGCTAAACTGCTTCGTGCAACACCTGAAGTCTGACTATCAGGTGAAGTCTTTGTGAATCAATAAAACATGAACACATATAAATTATTATTGTATTATATGTATTAGTTTAAGCACTGTTTGTTGACAGCTGTGACTCACAATCAGATCCGATCACATTTTTGACCAATTAATGCAGAAATGCAGGTGATTCTAAAGACTTTTTACTGCGACTATATAAGGGTGGGCCGATAGACGAGGTTGAGCATACATCGTCATTGTAAAAACCCGCCCCCTGGCAAAAAAAAACAACAACATTTTTCACTTAATACCTCCACATGAAAGCAGGTTTTAATCAGCACGAACATTATATTATACATTTAAATGTGCTTCGCACCTTCCTCGGAACTCTCTTCTCCCCACACTCTCTTCTCTCCCCCCGCCCGTCTACTCCACTTTCTCCATCAGCAGCAGGCTACGTTTTTATAACGTCGCCTAAAGACACTAACCTTTCCGTATTTTTCCACCCACGATCCGTTATCACGGCAGCAGGTGAGCTCTTGCTTGTTAATGACGCAGCCTATCAAACAACCGAAAGCACCATCTGCACCCCGTGTTCACTGCTGCTTTAACGTTACCTGGTCCATGCTTGTAAAATATCCACCGCGACTTGTAACGTCATAGGCTACCAAGTTTTTAACTGAGTGAAGTCTGTGCGAGGTAGCACACACATAATACGACCGCTATCCCCCCCATGCCATCGTCTATCCCGATGGTTCAGTGTAGACATCGTCCGATCTCTAGACTACATACACCTGAAGAGTTCAAGACACATACTGCTGTGTTTACTATTGTTTATATTTTTATAATCTGAAAAACTGCAATATCCTCAATTCATCAAACAACTATCTGTTTTATAACATTTCAAATAAGTCTGTGAGTAATGAAGATTTATAAGACTTAACATTTCATAATATAAACATATTTACAGAGTAACAAAGAACATAAAATGTTTTATTCTTTTACAGTCCATTCAGTTCCAGCTACTTCATCAGATACAGGACACTGACCGGACTAGCAGGCAGCAGCACAGCTGTGTTCAAAGACGTCCGTCAATCTTTAACCTTTTCATGTCTCGTCAGCATCTCCTCTTCCCTCTCTGTCTTCTATCTTTCTGTATCTCCTTCTGCTTTGTAGTCGAACCTTCAGCATCTTCCTCTCTGGCTCTGTCGTCACATTTCTTTCTGCGTTCTCTGGTTCTCTGTCTGAAAGCGTCTTCGTCTTCCTCTCGGCTCTGTCTTCAAACTTCCTTAACCTCTCGTTCGTCTTCTGTCTGAAAGCCTACAGGCCTTTCTCTCTGGCCTTGGCATCAGAATTCATCCCCTCTTCCTGTTGTTGTACAGATTTAACCGTCTCTGAAAGTCCTGCAGGTGGAGGTGCGACGAACACACCGGTCTGTTCTCCAGGTGTGAAATGATCCTTAGATGGTGAGGTGTGGAACGTGTGGAGGAACGTTCCACACCTCACCATCTCACCTCCGCCTTCCGTCCGACCTCTGCTGTCCTCATATCTGAAATGTTCCACATTTGTCATCTGGATGAGCTGTCACAGCCCGCTCGGTCACATGACAATAAGCCACGTCCCGCCTCCAGCGACCGGGTTTCATTCTGACTAAACATTTCCAGGACTTTAATTGCAGCTGGGGATCTTGGCTCTGATTTCCCGGGTTCCTGCTCCAGTGAAAATCTGAGGCACGTAAGACAACTACAAACAATGAAGGATAAAGTGATCGTCACTGTAAACGTCTTCAAGATTCTCCAAGACAGAACTTGCAGCGATCGATCGTCGGTGACCGGGCAGATCAGTCTCACATGTTTGATCCTGTGCCCCCCCGCCCAAGTGATGTCCATATGTGGGAAACGCTGCCTTTACATGAGGGTCAGAAATATCCTATATTCTAAATATACTTATAAGATTTCATTGATCCCACACTGTTTATTACCAGCTGGACCTCAGGAGGAGCAGCTGGTGCTGACGAAGAGAGGAAGACAGAAAGGTCTGTTAGTCAGTTTAGTACGTACCGCGTACTGCGTACCGAGTCAGTGCGTACCGCCTACTGCGTACCGAGTCAGTGCGTACTGCATACCGCCTACTGCCTACCGAGTCAGTGCGTACTGCATACCGCCTACTGCGTACAGAGTCAGTGCGTACTGCATACCGCCTACTGCGTACCGAGTCAGTGCGTACTGCATACCGCCTACTGCCTACCGAGTCAGTGCGTACTGCATACCGCCTACTGCCTACCGAGTCAGTGCGTACCGCCTACTGCGTACCGAGTCAGTGCGTACTGCATACCGCCTACTGCGTACCGAGTCAGTGCGTACTGCATACCGCCTACTGCCTACCGAGTCAGTGCGTACCGCCTACTGCGTACCGAGTCAGTGCGTACTGCATACCGCCTACTGCCTACCGAGTCAGTGCGTACCGCCTACTGCGTACCGAGTCAGTGCGTACTGCATACCGCCTACTGCCTACCGAGTCAGTGCGTACCGCCTACTTTGTACCGAGTCAGTGCGTACTGCATACCGCCTACTGCCTACCGAGTCAGTGCGTACCGCCTACTGCGTACAGAGTCAATGCGTACTGCGTACCGCCTACTGCCTGCCGAGTCAGTGCGTACCGCCTACTGCCTACCGAGTCAGTGCGTGCTGCGTACCGAGTCAGTGCGTACCACGTACTGCGTACCGAGTCAGTGCGTACCGCGTACCAAGTCAGTGCGTACTGTGTATCGCCTACTTCGTACCGAGTAAGTGCGTACTGCGTAACGAGTCAGTGCGTACCGCCTACTGCATCCTGAGTCAGTGCGTACTGCGTACCGAGTCAGTGCGTACTGCGTACCGCCTACTTTGTACCGAGTCAGTGCGTACCACCTACTGCATACCGAGTCAGCGGGTACTACGTACCGAGTCAGTGCGTACTGCCTACTGCATACCGAGTCAGTGCGTACCACCTACTGCATACCGAGTCAGCGGGTACTACGTACCGAGTCAGTGCGTACTGCCTACTGCATACCGAGTCAGTGCGTACCACCTACTGCATACCGAGTCAGCGGGTACTACGTACCGAGTCAGTGCGTACTGCCTACTGCATCCTGAGTCAGCGCGTACTACGTACCGAGTCAGTGCGTACTACCTACTGCATACCGAGTCAGTGCGTACCACCTACTGCATACCGAGTCAGCGCGTACTACGTACCGAGTCAGTGCGTACCGCCTACTGCATCCTGAGTCAGTGCGTACTGCGTACCGCCTACTGCGTACAGAGTCAGTGCGTACTGCGTACCGCCTACTTTGTACCGAGTCAGTGCGTACCACCTACTGCATACCGAGTCAGCGCGTACTACGTACCGAGTCAGTGCGTACTGCATACTGCATCCTGAGTCAGCGCGTACTACGTACCGAGTCAGTGCGTACTGCTACTGCATACCGAGTCAGTGCGTACTGCATACTGCATCCTGAGTCAGCGCGTACTACGTACCGAGTCACTGCGTACTACCTACTGCATACCGAGTCAGTGCGTACCACCTACTGCATACCGAGTCAGCGGGTACTACGTACCGAGTCAGTGCGTACTGCCTACTGCATACCGAGTCAGTGCGTACCACCTACTGCATACCGAGTCAGCGGGTACTACGTACCGAGTCAGTGCGTACTGCCTACTGCATACCGAGTCAGCGGGTACTACGTACCGAGTCAGTGCGTACTGCCTACTGCATCCTGAGTCAGCGCGTACTACGTACCGAGTCAGTGCGTACTACCTACTGCATACCGAGTCAGTGCGTACCACCTACTGCATACCGAGTCAGCGCGTACTACGTACCGAGTCAGTGCGTACTGCCTACTGCATCCTGAGTCAGTGTGTACCACCTACTGCATACCAAGTCAGTGCGTACTGCGTACCGCCTACTGCGTACCGAGTCAGTGTGTACTGCGTACCGCCTACTTTGTACCGAGTCAGTGCGTACCGCCTACTTGTACCGAGTCAGTGCGTACCGCCTACTTTGTACCGAGTCAGTGCGTACCACCTACTGCATACCGAGTCAGTGCGTACTGCGTACCGCCTACAGTGTACCGAGTCAGTGCGTACCGCCTACTGCGTACAGTCAATGCGTACTGCGTACCGCCTACTGCCTACCGAGTCAGTGCGTACCGCCTACTGTCTACCGAGTCAGTAAGTGCTGCGTACTGCGTACCGAGTCAGTGCGTACCGCCTACTGCGTACCAAGTCAGTGCGTACTGCGTACCACCTACTGCATACCGAGTCAGCGCGTACTACGTACCGAGTCAGTGCGTACTGCCTACTGCATCCTGAGTCAGTGCGTACTACCTACTGCGTACTGCGTACCGAGTCAGTGCGTATCGCCTACTGCCTACCGAGTCAGTGCGTACCGCCTACTGTCTACCGAGTCAGTGCGTGCTGCGT